GGCAACTAGTGCATGCTCAAGGCGCTGGTATTTTTTCCCTCGATCACTGGATATCAATCTCAACGGCACATCGTATTATCAATCTCAACTGCCTGGGGAGCATACACCATCTCGTCATATACCAACGGATTCGTGGGTTCTTTTAAGTGCACAGGGTTGTGTACTTTACACTAGGGGTTGTGATAACCTGCACACAAAGTTGACTCCAAGGTTTTTACACCCGGTCACACGTGGTCTCTATCCCGACACCTCCAACCTCGCTGGATCACTGCCTGCCGCCTTATCCAGCGTACATTATCACCCATGAAGATCCGGGTTAGAATTGATCTTCAGCAACTCATGCTTGTCGTAAGAGGCGACTAACGGGATCGGGTGGTCAGGCTCGCTGACTTGGTTGACACATCGGTTCCCAATTGCACAGATCGATGCTCAAGCTGTTGATCACTGGATTGTCTTGTCCAGACTCTATTATTTACAGACCGCCGCCACATAGCTGGAATATTGCTGAATGCGGCGTAAAACTAAACTAACTCATTCACTTTTGTTCCTCTCTCTCTGTTTATGTATCTCTCTTTCTTGTCACTCTCTCTTTCTTTCTTTCTTTCTCTATTTCTCTCTCTCAGGTAAAACGGATAGAGGATCGTGACATTCTACTTGGCAATAAGTGTTGTTTCCACAGCTGAGTATACCAGAAACAACGCCATTAGACAACACACGACGATGAAGCGAACGTCTGAAACAGTTATTTTATAAGTTCTTATATGTTGTGCAGGAGTGGATTAAAAAAGGTTACAAAAGAAAGCAAAAGCATGCATGAATGAACATCTGTTAAATTTCAGTACACTATTCAATTCTACAGTAAATGGACACAATTTCATTTCTTACAAAGTAAACCGCCTCCGCGGTGTAACGGTTAGAGCGTCCGCCCGGAGAGCAGAAGGTCGCGGGTTCGTTCCCCGACCGTCATACCAAAAGACGTTAAAATATGATACTTGTTGGTCCCTGCCTGGCGCTCGGGATTAATGGGTACAACAAGGACTGGTCGGCTCGGAGTCAGTATTATGTGTCTGAGTGGGGTATTCATGCTTCACTGCGGCATGGTATCTCAGTGGGATAGCACTACAAAACCAGCTTAAGTCTGGGCTAGTATATGAGTGAAATATTCTCAACCACATAAGCACGACGTTAAACCCAGTTTCACCTCACCTCATACAAAGTCGAAAGTACCTTTTGACTGGCACTGAAAGACACGTGGTATCATAATCTGAACATTTACACAAGTCAACAAGGTGTTTTTACTGCAAAATGTCTTCAAATGTTGAATCAATAATGAGTGTGACCACCATTGGCTTCAATACAAGCCAAAACACGTCGACGCATTGATGACGTAAGAATAACGATCTGTTGCCATTCCTGTAGGAGACATTGTTCCAGTTGTTGAGCGGTGACAGGTGGCGCTGGCAGTCTTCTGATGTGTCGATCCAGGTAGTTCCATAAGTGTTCTATCGGATTCATGTCGGGAGAACATGCTGGCTATGGCAAAACAACGATGTTAGCGTTATGCAGAAAGTCGTTTGTCAGTCTTGCTGTATGAGACCTTGCGCCATTGTCACTTGCATTACGTAACCAGATTGTAGGAATGTCAGGCCAGCGTTCAAGGGCGTAGCTACCATTACAAACAAAAGCTCGGGCTAACACATGATTTTTGCTACGAAAGTTGGACAAGGCTTCAATACTATCTAAATATACAGCTATGCAACCTATCAGGCTTGCACAAACAAAATAGCTTGCTACGCGCCTGGCGTTAACAGCCGTGCCACCCGTGAAGATCCGGGTTAGAACTGATCTTCAGTAACCTATGCTTGTCGTAAGAGGCGACTAACGGGATCGGGTGGTCAGGCTCGCTGACTTGGTTGTCACATGTCATCGGTTCCCAGTTGGGTAAAACGATGCTCATGCTGTTGATCACTGGGTTGTCTGGTCCAGACTCTATTGCTTACAGACCGCCGCCATATAGCTGGAATATTGCTGAGAGTGGCGTAAAACTAAACTCACTCTCTCCCTCACTAACAGCCGTGCCATAAGTCGTGAGTTGCACGTAAGCGTTAGAACTCTACAGAGAATAAAAAACATGCCCCGAAATCTTCAGTCATTAGTACCAAACATTTGTACAGGTAGACCCCGAAAAACGCAAGGGACGACAGGCCTCACTTCCGCCTTGTACGTCGACATCGATATTTATGTGCCATGGCGTTAAGAGAAAGATGGGGGTGTTCTTGTTATCTTCTTGCTTAGCAGGCAAACGGTGAACCGTAGGCTACTGGAGAGGGGTACACAACAAGCGTTTGGGGCCGGGGTGACTCGGTTTTGGTATAGGGTGGTACAGAGACATTTTGGAAAAAACATTTGATTCCTTGATGTCTTTTAGCGACATTTAGAAGTTGTATGTAGAGTTCATCTGATGAAGGGATCTGTAATGGTCCCGAAACGTTGTGTGGGAAATAATAAAGAAGCTAAAATCCATAAAAAATATCTTTGACATTTGATTCCACATGCACGACAGGTATACGGCAACAACGTCCTGCTGCAAGATGACAATGTTGTTCCACATTGTGCCAGGGCCATTGTTGTTTTTCCTGGATAGGGAGGGTTTTAAGAGATTGCACAGGCCCCCGAGTGAGTGAGTGAGTAAGTGAGTGAGTGAGTGAGTATAGTTTAACGCCGCCTTTTGAAATATTCCAGCAATATCACGACGGGTGACACCAGAAATGGGCGTGACGAGCCAACGCTTTAACCACAAGGCTACCCCACCGCCCCACACTGGCCCGCGAATTGGGACCATCTGGATAGGCTTTCGACAATTGGTAGTCCATTCTGGAAATGTTATTGTGCGCATCCTTGGTTCGAATCTGGAACGCTTGGTTGACCAGACATTGTCAACAACCTTGTTGATAGCGTGAGGCCATGGATTGCCTCCCTTATTGAAGCACGTGGAGGATCTACTCGCTATTTCCCTGGTAACTGAATGTTCTGAGACATGTATCCACAATATTTAAATCTTGCAACAAATTTTGTATTGAATAAAGCTAGCTTATTCACAAGTCAGTCTCACGTGTAAAAGTTATTAGTTTTGAAGTTAGCATGTCTTTGGTGGTCTTATACTAAAATCGTATACAGAGTTCTTTAGATAATTATTTAATGTTAGTAACATAATTGAATTTCAACAAAGCTATTAAACAAAATGAAAGGATAAACAAAAGAAAAGTGAAAAGCCGTTAAACGCAAACACTAGGACTGTGTATTGCCCCAAATTTCGTATTGCGATATATTGCGATACACTCTTCTGTATTGCGATACGTATTGAGATATATTGCTATACACTCTTCTGTATCGCGATACGTATTGCAATATATTGTGAAAGAACAGTTATTGAGATCTGTCCACTTTGTAATATTCTGTTATCTTCAAATTGAATCACATTATATGCGAGTAACCAGTGTGCTTGTATAGCTTCTTTCAAAGCAAGACAAAGGAAGAAACAAAACATTCTTCTATTTATATTTTTATTTTAAAACAGCTGGGTTCGAAACTCACTAAAAAATTTAACTAATCCTTAGGGCTAGTGGATTTTGTATGTCATTAGTCCTTTCCAAATATTACTAGCCCTACACTTTAACTATAAAAACTTTCAACAAGTCTTTCTTTTAATGGTAACTGCTGTCCAAGGAAAAGTTAACACAGATAAATGTACGATATCTCATTTCATATATATGACAAAATCAACTGAAACTAGCTTACATCCTGTCCTCCATCAACCCACGCATACTCTAACGAGCAATATAAACGATACTTAGTCAAAATCACTGATATTACAAAACGACAAAGCACCATTGTGTAAAAGGAAAGAGAATTTTGACAACAGGTGTATGGGCAACATGCATTTGCATACACATGCCCATATACCTGTTATTAAAATTCACTTTTATTAAAATTCACTTTCCTTTTACACAATGGTGCTTTGTCGTTTTGTAATATCAGTGATTACGGGACTTGGTATGATATTGGACCGCTCAACCTTAACGACGGGCCACAATCAGTTCTGTTGTCAAGTGACGTCATAGTGGGTGCGTCGGTTCATTCGACTTTCGCTTTGGACTGGCAGATATTCTGAGGCAAAAGTCATAGCAACCAATTCCCACTTTAAATAGCGGTAATATTGGCTTTCTTGCTATCGGTAATACCTCGTTAGCTTATTTCTATACTTTAACTTCTTTAAACTGCGAAGGATGATGAATTTCAAATAATTTAAAGAGTCTGAGCTACTGTGCACATCTGTATGACTCAAGAAAAATATAATTGAAGTCACAATCATGTGACATGATCTTGAAGTGAACCTTCTAATCAAAACAATGATTTATGCACCTATGTCTTTGAATAAAAGTATTACTAACATTACCTAATTCATGAATGGGCAAAAGTCTCTCTGTATTAGGTAAAGTAAAGTTTCTTTAGTCTGAATAAAACAATGGGAAAAAAAAGAAAAATGAGAAACATAGGTCTTAAATATATTGAAGATGAATTCCATGTACTGTTCATTTGTGAATCCTATTCACAACTAAGAGAGCGGTTCATTACAAAATGTGTTAAAAAGCCTTATACTGTATATTCTTTAGCAAATCCTTTCAAGAATACTAATGTAGACACTGTAAAATCTGTTGCCTTGTATCTATTTTATGTTAAAAAGGATTATTATAAACACACTTGAATGATCATTGTGCCCCTGATTACACTGGAATTTCCTTTTGAATGTATTTTGGGCCTACGGCCTTTTACTGGAAATAAACTCTGTCTCTGTCTCTCTGTCATTTTGATCAAGAATAAAATACTTACAGGTAGATACAGTTTGAGATTTTGTGATAATTCTTAGATCATCTCGATATATCAATAACTCGATGTATATTCGGTCGTGTCAAGGAAAACTAAAGTCACTTTGTGACATCTCCTAATCTAAGACGTTCAAACAGAGCTGAAACCTTTGAACAAGGAAACATCATGGGGCTGCTATGTGTTTTGATGAAGTAAAACGCCTTTGCTATTTTCTTATCACTACCTGCTTCGTAACTACGCGTTGACAAACTGTAAGTTTTCAGACACACCCGCTTCCCGGCTGAAAGAAAGTTAAACATCATTAGTGACTCCTTGTATTGAAATGACGTCATAGGCAGATGATTCCTCTGGAGTTTCCAGTGACATATATTGTTTTTCAAGTTCAGCTTTGCTTAGGGCTTGTAGTCGTCTGAGCCTGAAAGATATAACGAAAAAGGTTAGTTACATGGCTTAGCTCATATTTACGTTCAAAGGGTAAGAATCTCAATACTGACAAGTATTCAATCTCTAGTAATCTGAATGCTGAAATTTTAACTGTATATCAATGTAACATTCACTCTGATGGCCTATTATTCTAATGCAATGTAACAAAGAATATTTTTTTCATACACAACTCTCTCTCTTTCAATCTCTCCTCTGTGTGTGTCTGTCTCTCTTTCTTTCTTTCTCTTACTTTCCCTTTCCCTGGCAAAAGCCGTCAACGATAGTAACAACAAAGATAATTCTACCTGACATTAAGTGTTGTTACTACAGCTGAGTATGCCAAGAGCAACACCATTAGGCAACACACGACGATGAAGCGAACGTCTGAAACAGAAGAGGGAGTTATTTATATATACTGATATATGTTCTGTAGGTGTTGATAAAGGTTGTAAATGATGTATATTAGTGTAATGAGGAAATCACTTACATTGTCCGCGGTGTGAAAACACGTTAAGTATCAATCACGCACCTGTCCCAGTTAATCTTACCTGTTGTGAAGACACATTAAGTATCAATCACGTACCTGTCCCAGTTAGTCTTACCTGTTGCATTGCCTGTATCATCAGCTTTGACTGGACTCGCAGTGCCTGTTGGGAAACACAAACTGATCTGAACACACTTGCAAGAGGTGTAACTCCCTTGATGTTTATACCTCAGAAGAACACATCTGTAAAGCGTTTACTTATAAAACTGACACGTGACTTGTCGTCATGAGACACTTGAACCACTAGATTACATGCCTATATGTTCGAGATTAGCATGTGATAAAAAAGTCTTTTGATTTAGATTGCACCAAAACACATCGCAACACCTAACAACACAAATATTCAAGCAAGTATCACATGTCCTTAATATCAGTATTATTTTACATTGATTATGCAAACATGAATTTCTAAATGCCTATTTCCTAATGAAGGCGCTAAAGTGTTTGTGTCTTGGATTAAGGCGGTAATAATATACTATGCAAAATAAATTCTTATCAATTAGACACTCAGATATGAAGTGTCGGCTCAAAATATGATCATGGTATTTAGACGACGGAGAGGTATATATGGCAAAGAGTAATTCGTCAGCATATTAATCGGCGAATTATATTGCTGTCTGACCTTTAACACTGGCTCAGATAGCTGCAGGCAATTTGACAGTGATTTTTTGTATAAATGTCAGGGTATATATTATCCTGATAACAATTACATTGACATTGCTCTGTTGCTGTTGTTATTGTTGTTGTTGTTGTGTTCTGGTGCCCAGTTCCACATTCCCCTGTGACTTTGTCACACACCTCACACTGGTTCAGACAGCTGCACACACCAGAACAGTTCAGACCGTACGTGTAGTCTCCACATTCTGAAAGCCAATAGGTTTCAACAGAAGACGGTTTCTGTGAGTAAACTGATTCCCTAGGCTCTAACGTTGCCCTGTGCCTGGTGCTCAAAGAATAGGTTAGTTCCGAACTGTGATTAATCAACACTTTGTATACAAGTTCATGCTTTGCCCATATTATCAAACTATTTGAAAAGAACTTAGAAAAGGTTGTGCAAAGATTTATCATTATTTCGGTATCATTGTTTAATGTACATTTGGATTAATTTGGGTAAACATGATACGGTCAAAAACCCAACCTTTCACACACAGTGGTGGGGCGTATCCTGGCAAACATCCCCTTTCACAGTGTCCAGTTGACCGGTCACAGCCAGGTCCATCCTTGCAGTGACCACAGGTGGCTGAACAGTTTACACTGTACTTTCCCTGGACACATGCTGTTGGAATAATAAACTATATCACCAGCTCACCAGACGTTTTCAGAACCCAGGGTAATGGACAAAAGTATCCACGTTAAAATATTAGTTCTTGAAGCTATATTATTCGTATTGACCTGGCGACAAAATTGTAATCAGTCATTAATTCTTAATATAAATGATAAATGTTATTGAACATAAATGATTTCAGATATTGTGTGTCATTGAGACCTGCATATAGGAGGACTGAACAGTTTGATGTTGTCTTCTGGATGAATTAGAATGAACACGTTCAGAGTGTACATGCATTTGAAATGTGGTGGAGGAATGAACGCTTACATACTCTATAAAAAAGTAGCCGAGATATTGAAATACCTTTAAATTTCCAAATCTGTTATCCTACTTTCTAGTAATAGTTGAGTAATAATATTCTGTGAAGTGGAAGCAATGGGGTTTCACAAAAGGGGACAACTTGACTGAAGACACTTCTTATCATTCAGCTACAACACTTCATGTGGTGATGAACATGTGGAGTTTTGAGTGTTCATGGTCCATTTTCCACAACAGACTCCTAAAGAACCGCGTCAAACGAGCCAATTTTGAGTTATATTTTGTACATAAATATCTTCTATAGCATGGAAATATTCAACTTACATCAAGAACAACCAGTTGTCAAATTGGACACATTACATACATTAGGGACCAGTTCAAAAGTTCACTGTAGGATTAAATACTTACTTCTTTAGGTTTGGAGACATGATTTGCGAACATCACATTTGATACAAAATTGTCGAAAACATTTACCACCATTTTTCAAAGGGAAATCAATCATATTAGAAAAGTCTTATTTAAACTCAACATTTGTCAACAACTCATCATTCAGCCATGACACAAAGTAACCTGGCATAACCTTAGTCTTTTGCTTCTAGACAGTTTCACCTTATCCGAGGTCAAGCGCCCTGTCAACCACACCTTAGAAATCGCCATACATGTGCATGTATAACATGCATGGAGACAGTCAGTGATGTTCAGACCGCCATCAGATTTCAGTTACAGTCTAGATGAACTAGTTATGAATGAGATTTCCGAATGTATGCAGGTATTCAGCAGCATTGACTACAGAAAAACTGAAACTATTATTATATTTAGAGAATATAACAAATACTTGAAAACAAAGGCGGCGTCTTGTAATAGCCTAAAATAAACAAAGAGAATATATTTCATAGGCGAACTGTAATTTTAATTTTACTACTAAGAATTAAATCATAAAAATTATTAACGAAATGCAATATATACATCACTATGATTGGATGAAAGTGTCACCTACATTTGCAATATGGTTCTTCAAAGTTATCTGTACATCCCAGCATACAGACACCAGTAGTTGTATTGCACGGTGAGTCACCTTTACACGAGCCACATTGTTGTGAACAATTAACACCGTAGCGTCCTTCTACACAGTCTGATACAGGCAGAAACATATCATTTAAAAAATGACCATACAAAATGATGAAATTGGTAACATTGGTGGTGATCTTCAAATACAGTGGCCTCCCTTGGTTGTGTACAGTTCACATTCCATCCCAGCTCTTGACACGTTAGTTGCTAGTCCCACCCCCACCCCAACCCCTATCCCCCGATACAGAGATATGTAATGCGAGGTACCAGTGTATTGTTGTCATGAGACTCTCAGAGAAGGCCAACGATAGTCCCATTCCATCCAACAGCTGCAAAATTTGTGGTACCCATGTGGTATAATATAACACTGAAAAAGGAAATTGGGTATACACAGATCGTCTTTTGAGAAAGTAGAATCTCATGCCCCCTTTAAAGGTCTGTTAACCATCAGTTATTGGTTTGGGATTCGAGTAACTTCACATCGAGATTGTTTAGCGCCTGAGTAGTTGAAGCCAAGGTCCAGCCTCCTTACCCAAATTACCCGTGAACATCCGGGTTACAATTGGTCTTCAGCAACCAAGGCTTGTCGTAAAGGGCGACTGGGTGGTCAGGCTTGCTATCTTGGTTGACAAGTCATCATATCCCACTTGCGTGAATCGGTGATCATGATGTTGATCACTGGATTGTCTCGATTATTTACAGACCACAACCATATAGCTGAGTGTGGCGTTAAACAACCAACAAACCAACCGACCGTACCCAAATCACCTGTTCTCCTGTCAAACTGTTTCTACAATGCAGTTAGCTTCGAAGACTTTACTGTAGATTACTCCAGGATTTGTGCACATAGTACTCATGACCAGGAGCAGCTAACAATGCCACAACGTTGGACGTCTTCTGCTTTTGGGGCGGTGGGGTAGCCTACTGGTTAAAGCGTTGGCTCGTCACGCTGAAGACCCGGGTTCGAATCCCCACATGGGAACAATGTGTGAAGCCCATTTCTGGTGTCCCCAGTCGTAGCAGCCGCAGTCAGTCTGTCTTCTGCTGTTGTCATAGTATTGTGTCATTTTTTCATATTAATATTTCAGGCTTTCCCTGGTAATTTCATTTTTCCACAAAGAAAAGGTTCGGAAAGTTGCTAATAGTCGACTAATTCAAGTCTAATTGATCTTAGTATTTAAGTAGTAGAATCTGGCAACTACTTTTGAAAAAAGCACTGACATTTTGTTAATGGCGAATTAGCACGAATGTATTACTTGAATAATTACGCCACCACAAATGACACCCTTTTCGTCAGTAACAGACATTTCTCACCTTTACACAAAGGGAGGAGGTAACCTATTTGACATCCCTGTGTGCAGTGTCCATCATCCTTATTACAGTCGGACGACCGGCTACACTGACCACACGTGGAGGAACAGTTGATCCCATACTGACCCTGGACACAATCTGTACAGGTGATAAAGTAAGGGACGTAGATCATCGTTCATTCAGTCTATGTTTATACACATAAATTGTTTATTAAATTTTAACAGTATGTTATGTTCAATAAAACTATACCTGTCAACCTTCTAGCGCCTCATAGACAGTTTTCGTTATTCGGGGTAATAATGTTCACCATGTACATGTTGTGTGAGCTTAGAGCATGCCAGTGCGATGTGGAGGTCGGCGTTATATAAGACGTCTTATTATGTGTGGGTGTGTGGGTGTGTGTGTGTGTGTGTGTGTGTGTGGGTGTGTGTGTGTGTGTGTGTGTGTGTGTGTGTGTGTGTGTGTGTGTGTGTGTGTGTGTGTGTGTGTGTGTGTGTGTGATTTTTTAAGGTGTTGTTTTCACGCAAATTATGTTTTCACACCGATTATGTTTTCTAATATCGATCTATAGCAAATCAGCCTCAACATAATGTATGTTTCTCTTGTCCATGAAGCAGCGTCATCTCACCATCCTGGCATCCAACCCCTGTCTTCCCAGCACGGCAGCCACTTGTACAGCTCCCTGTGGTCTTGTCGCATACTTCTATTTCATTCTGACACTTGCACTGTTTACTACAGTTGGTGCCAAACCACCGATCATTGCACACTGAAAATATTCAAAACCTAGTAAGCATTCACATGAGTATAACCGTTGAAGTTCCTTTGGGGGAAATAACAAACACATAATACGTACGCAACTATATATATGTAATATATATAATAGGTTTATGTTACCTTCATGTAAAATACTTTAATTTCATTGGTCAATGACACTTTAACAAGTTTCCGTGTCAACCCTCCCAGGTGGGTGACAACTGGATTAAAATATTAGCCGCTGCCACAGTAACCGCCAAACTCTGTACCGAGAAGCTGTATCGTTGTAACAATCGTATGACGTCGTAATATGACGCATGCAGTGCACGGGGTTCGAAAACCGTTCGATTAGCTCTCTTTGAATTCACTATGGACACATTTATTTTATCGACTTTCATTGCTTTATGTAAACCATTTTATACATTGCATCGTTTGCACACTCAACTTACACATAATTAACTATGTTTTATAGCAGTTTTAAGCTTGTCAGAATATGCTTCACTGATATTAAAAATCCAGTCGAGAGGCAGACGTCCTATAATCGGTAGCGAGCTTATCGATCTTCAAAATAGAATGAAATGATATTTTGGACATTTAACATGGCAGTAAGATAAATACGTAGTAAACGTTGTAATATATATATACTAACTCTTTCTAGGAATTCCCTACCCAGAGAAAAGTAAATCACAGATCAGCTGTGAAAGCATGCATATATATATATATATCCTTATCTCTGGGTAGGGTGTTCCTAGAAAGAGTTCAATTATAAGTGTTATCACCAAACTGCAATTACTTCAGGATTTGATTAAAACTCACATTTACAATAAGGTGTTTGAAAGTTATCTGCACATCCTTGTGTACAGACACCAGTGGTTGTATTGCACGGTGAGTCATCTTTACACGAGCCACACCGTTGTGAACAATTAACACCATAGCGTCCTTCTACACAGTCTAATATGGAAAGAAAGAATATCATTGAGACAACGACCATATATAAACGTATGAAATACATTCAAATGAAACTGTCGATAATCCTTCTTCGTATTCAGAAAAGTTAGCCGTGGTCACCTTGCTGTCGTCCCAGGACTTGACTTGACGCCATCACAACTGTAAGCTTCACTGACTTTATTGTCAGTTACACAAGGATTTGTGCATTCAAAGTGTGACAAGGAATGGCTAACAGTACCACAACCCTATCGCTAGGACTTCTTCTGTTGTTGTAGTCTGCTTTCATTTTGTCATATGATCATTTTGTCATGTGAGTACTTTAGATTTTCCATGGCAATTTTAGTATTTCGGAAAGTGGATGGAATAGTCAATGAGTTTAAGTCTAATTGAGCTCAATGTTGACGTAACCATGTTACCACAACGCACTCACATACTACGGATGACGTGAATCTCTTCTAGAGTGTAAGTTTCTTATAATGATACTGATGGTAATGTCAATGAGCCCCGGTAAAACCACATGCACATTTGCCTCAACATAACAAGAAATTTACGATTTATAAAGTATTTACCCACAACTTGTGTCACATACGTGAACTAGTCTTATTTAAATCATATGACACATATATTCACATCACAGCACAAGGGAATAAGAGCATTTGAACCAATATAAAATTAACACAATCAGGAAATACTCAAATTATCTGTACATAAAATCTGTAAGTACTTGTATGGAAAGATTCGATACCGTGAAAATTATGTTTATATGTTCAGTAGGTTAGAGACTAACTGAAGAAAACCATTGACAAAGGCCTTAAAAGATTCCTTAAAGAATACTTCGTATTACCCAGTTCTCGAAAACGTCGAACATGTATACCATTCTATCAAACTAGATCACACGTCCTTACAACACTTGCGTAATGTTGTTGATACAACAAAGAAATGAATAGAGTTTAGAACATTTTCATGCAATTCTCACCTTTACACAAAGGGGGACTGTAACCCTGTTGACATCCCTGTGTGCAGGTTCCATTAACCTTCTGACAATCAGATGACCCACTACACTGACCACACGTGTAGGAACAGCTGACCCCGTAGTGACCATGGTCACAGTCTGTAAAGAGTGTAAGATACTCACAATATAGCAGCAATAGAAAGAAATATCTCTAGATGGATACGTAATTGTATATTATATGCACGATATCATAATGACTTCAAAGGATATATTACATCACTATAATGCCACCAAATATCCAGACGATGTTTTCAGGAGCAGTATTTTAAAAACGGGCATTGCAATACACGATATCAACGCATTACAATTGTACATAACAATATGGCCACGCGCTCTATATGGTTAATTTGCCATTAGAACGACAGACTAATCTAAAGCTAGTATTAACATGACCAAACCTAACCTTGCTGACACCCTGGTCCGTGTTTCCCAGCAGCACATCCACTCCTACAGTAGCCAGTCTCCTTGTCACATACTTCAGATGGATCTAGACACTGACACTGCTTGTTACAGTCAGAGCCAAACCAACCATCACTGCAAACTACAAGGACATCAGTCTCAGTTTGATAATGTTTGTAATATACTTTCTATAGTCTAACAATGGGTATAAAACTTTATGTTATTTATCACTTCCTTGTAGAACATGTTTCACTGAAACCTTGATATGCAGGATACGTTATTTTATCGTAAGGAGAGCTCGGGAAATATAGCCAAAGTCAGGAGTTGTGAGAATATAACCTCGTTGGAGATTTTGGATCTGGGGTTTGTTTGTAAATTATGATTCACATAGTCTTGAATACCTATTACCTTCCAAATTCAAAATGTGACAGTTACAGTGTTTTGGGCAAGAGCTTCTCTTCCCTTGACAGTCATCACTGTATGGATGATAACTTTGCATTGAGTCTCTGTGTTTAGCTACTTTTTCTAGTAGGGGTGGGTATTGCAGAGAATTTTCACATTGCGATATATTGCGATGCGAAAGCATATATTGTGATAAGTATTGCAATATATTGCAAGAGGGTTTTTCTTAACAATGAACTACTTATAATCGAGTTTACGCTTTATTTATAAAGCAAAAACACAACAAAGTCACATATCTTGATTAAGCTTTCATATAAACCTTCAATCATGACAAAATAAGAATATAAATAATATTTGGCACAAATGAAACAAGGAAAAGAATATTTTAACATCAACTCAGAGGTTACTAGTTTGAACTAGTTTCTCCACTCTCAAAAAAAGCCCTCAGATTTTAGACAGCAACTTGACCTGGTCAGGACATATCAGGGATCATTAGTCATTAATGAGTAAATATTTAAAACATTCTGATCCAAAACATTGCGAAACACTTGAACAAAAATATAGAACACAACTTCAAACCGAACTTAACAAACCAGTAAAATGTAAAATCTTTGAAGGGCATGTAGAAGTGGAATGCATAAGAAAAGCAATATAGAAGTTGACATCCATAAATCTTGCTTTTCTCAGTTAAATGTAATTTTCACCACTATCATTCCCACCACCATTACCACAGTTGCCACAATCATCAAGATTTCCGAGTGTTACGAAGTTTTCCGAATGCATGTCAAAATAACGGTTTTTCGATCCGCGTATCGCAATACGTATCGTTTTCATGTCTGAACCGGTTAATACCGGTAAACCGGTTATATTGCGCAGCCCTATTTTCTAGCATGTACATGGTTTGCCATATGAAATCACAGATACATTGTCAATCATGACCTGTTGATTGTATGGTAGTACGTATTGTACTATATAAATTCGCAATTCAAAATTTTGAGATGTTACCTTTGAACCTTATTCTCTAATTTAAGCTTTAAAAAATGATGTATTTAGCATTCGGACGTTCTACAAGTATCCATAGTGTGGATTGTAAGGTTTTGGGTAAGACTTCACATTGACACAAATGAATATGCCTTTACAATACAACTTCATATAGTTTTTCCCAACCTTGGACTTGTTTGCTGTTTCACACAACAGAACGCAAGTAGGAAATGATTTTCTAAACGAATCTGGAAGAATTGCCCTAAAAGCTAAATAGACAACATCTAGCTCTTACTCAATACATTGGTTGCAATTCAAAACGAAGTGGTGAAACGTGGACATCATTGAAATTATTACGTGATTTAATTGTTTGTTTCACCATATGGCTTTTTATTACTGTGCTAAAGTTGAATGTATACTGGGTATCTTTCACTTCCAAACATTTTAAATTGTCAAAATGAAAATGTCATAAAATTAACTTCTGTATATTTATTTAAATCTAGAAAAACGTGATTCAGTTTATACTGTCAACTACATTGTAACATAGGCCATATGACCCACATTACTGAATAAAATTTGTCTGTCTGTCAGTCTTTTATCTTGGGTAATAATATAGCTGAATTGATTTAATTCTCTCATTATATACCTTGCCTGCTGTCAACAATATCATGATAGCAAACGAACTATCGACCTCGATTGGATCAAACTTACCAAACACTTGAACCTCGCACAATGTCAGAAATTGTCCGCTTATGGTAATGGTAACATTGTTCCCCTTCATGACGTGGGTACATGTGACGTCAACAGGGTTTGTGACAGGTCCATGTAACCAGTCAGGTGTTGTTCCACTCACAGGGACACACAGGTCGCCGTTCACAAGCACCTGCAGGCCATTGTTGTTTTCCCAAACTTTAAACCATGAAAATGTAATTGAAAAATTAAGTGTAAAATGAATAAATGATTAGAGGATCATGAAATACAGATGTTAATATCAAGTATTTGAACAAAGAATAGTGTTGCCAAACATCCTATACAAGAACGTTTATTTCTGTAAGACCTATGATTAAGGCCAAGAAACATCCTGTAACTTGCACGTGCCGCAGGCAGTCAGTCATTTCGTGTGAGACACTGCGGCTAAAGCGATCTTCTTACTAATCATCCTGCTGGGTTGTCGCCCCTACAAATTGTGACATTGCCAGTAGACGTCAGTGTCACCTTGCGCTTCCTAGATAGGCCCCAACGTGTTTGACGACGTCGAAATGAACGTCAGGGCAACATCAGCCTGAGACGTCGGATTTAATGGTATGACCGAGGGAACCCCACACCATACTGTACAAGGTAGGTTCATGGACTGTGCTATCGGGACGGCGTTTGAGACGACCGTTTGTCTTTCAGGACGACAATGCCCGTGCTTACCGTGCACAAATCCCTAATGCCCAACGGCTATCTGAAATCGACTACAGGAGACTCATACACATATTGCCTCGTTGAGCGAAGAATAATTTTACAAATCGTATCGTCTTTATGCACAACGTATCCCCAAACGACATTACCTGTTCAAACGTGTTCCCAATTCGACCGGCAGTATGGTTATCAACTATAGCTAAACATTGAAATATCTTAAATTTTATATTTATTTCCAGAACCGTGAGGATCCGGGTTAGAATTGGTCTTCAGTAACCCATGCTTATCGTAAGAGGCGACTAACGGGATCGGGTGGTCATGCTCGCCGACTTGGTTGACACATGTCATCGTATCCCAATTGCATAGATCGATGTTCGTGCTGTTGATCACTGGATTGTCTGGTAAAGACTCATTTATTTACAAACCGTCGCCATGTAGCTGGAATATTGCTGAGTGAGACGTTAAACAACAAACCAACCAACTAAATCTCAAGTTTTTTCTGAGTATCCCACATTTTAACGTACTTCCAGGATTGGAGTGATATATACGTACATGTTTGTTGTGCGTGTTTCCATCAAAGATAAATGGGTAATTCATGGATCGTTCATGCTTTGGTTCTATTGATTACTATCACTCGATGCTAATTGGGTTGAATAGCATTGGGCGTGAAACAGGTGGTGATGTTCTAATTCTGTACCTCACACGTGTGTCGTACAACAGTGACCCCCACCATCAACGTTCATGCTCTTGCTTTTTTCATAAGCAATAACGGGGCTTTTCGAGGTTTACACTTTATTAAACCAAACAAGCTCGTCACATGCACCATTTCTCCACACTCGGCAAAGGTCTTGTTTTCACATTTGCTGAAAGCTTACATTAAAATTTCAGCAAAACAAGCCAATAGTTGTACGACCAAAAATAATGATATTTAATATTGTTGTACGCATTTAAATGCATCAGGGGCGGTAAGGTAGCCTAGTGGTTAAAGCGTTCGCTTGTCACACCGAAGACCCGGGTTCGATTCCCCACATGGGTACAATGTGTGAAGCCCATTTCTGGTGTCCCCCGCCGTGATATTGCTGGAATATTGCTAAAAGCGGCGTAAAACGATACCTACTCACTTACTAAATGCATCAACTGATTTCTATGTTTCAGTCACCAAAACATTTGTAACACCTTGTGGTGATGTTAACAGCTGGCTGGATATTAAATAAAAGCCGGCTTGTATGATGACATTGCTTACACATTCACATTGATACACACCAACTGTTTTCTATAATTCAGTATAAAAGTCATGCAAACATTTGTAACACCCTGTAGTGATATTAACAGCTGGCTGGATATTAAATAAAAGTCAGCTTGTATGATGACATTGTTTACACATTCAAATGTATACACACCAACTGTTTTCTATAATTCAGTCATGCAAACATTTGTAACACCCTGTGGTAATGAGATGTGTATTATATAAAAGTCAACTTGTGTGATGAAAGTGTTTAAATGTCACTACAATCTGACTTCTAGTCTTGCATAATATATTTGGTTTTGTAACTAACATATATTTAATATAGTGGAACTTTGCATGTGTAGCACTTACAGTCCTTTCTCAGGTAGATCCTGATCCTGCTGATGTTGAACATCCGATGATCATCAAGAAGAACCTGCCAGCTTGCAGCTGCGTTGTTTGTGTAAGAACACCTCCTGTGACTGACGTCTGTGTCAGTGTTCCCATCTACAGCATACGCAGCACAGTGGGGGATGCCGCCTTCACTATAATTGCTACTCTGTGCTGCTGTCTTTTGAAATGCAATGTTTTCTGTAAGCAGATGAACAGAAACATACCAGAAGCTGACTCGTATGTCATTAAGGATGTTTGTAGTACGTTTGGTACAGGATACAAGAGCGAGATTATATCCATCATCAATATATTGCTTGTCAGTACTAACGTGTTTTAGGCGCAGTCCCAAACATAAAATGCTGCTCGTAAGAAACGAACAAATCTACGGGGTGTTCAGGTTCGATTATTTACAAGCCAACGTCACATGGTGGATTGTGGAGATGGACAAGAAAATGTGCTGAATTAATTTCAGTTGCAGGATTGATGACATTGTGAGCGTCAAACTGAAAACTATCTTCATGCATTGTTACACCCCCATTCCAAAGAGATTTCGGACTCATCGGCCACTCATCGGAACCAAAGTTTTTCCCTTCCGGTAACCCACCGAAGAGTATCGTATCACAGTCCGAGGAATCCGATTTGTGTTTGTCGACTATCAGGTCAGTGTCCGACGTGTCGGGCGTGATCCGATGAGGCGAAATCGTCCGATAAAGGAACTAAGCTCAGAGCTTGGTTCGCCATTGGACGCTATTTCCGGTCGCAAATGGAATCAGTGTCCGATGAATGTCGAGTCAGTCCGATGTGTGTCAGATTTGTGTTGTGCAACTATCGGACGTGTCCAGCCGACGTCAGACGGCAATCTGATAAGTATCCGATGATTAACAGTCATCTGACGCTCATTTGATTGCAGTCTGCGGTGTGCCCGACGCGCCTGATAGTCGCCCATCACCAATTCGATTCTCCCCGGAGGGTAACATGATATTTAGCACCGTCCAATTGCTATCCGGTGTGACATCGGAGGTAATCGCTCACTAACTCAACTGCCATCCGACATGTTCGCGGACAGAAGGCAAAGAGGCGACCTTCCATTCTCCTGGTATAATGTTGTGGTTGGCATCCTCTGTATCCAGCTGACCATGGTGCATGGCTGGGTGTCGTATTCAGATCAGGTTGTGGAGGCAGTCACAGGTTTCTATAATGTTAAGCACAACGTCAGGTTGCTGCTGTAATGTTTCTTGAAGACTCTGGAATCTGGCTGCCAGTATTCCGTAAACGACTCTCCGCGACTCTTCGGGCTCTACTTATGCGATAGTTATATATCCGCTCTGTAAGAGTCACGTTCTTTCTCGAGTAGGGCTTCATCATGTGGGTTCGCAAAGCAAAGGCGTCATTCCCAATGAATCATGAAGTATGGCATGTTCTGGTTGTCACTGGTCATTGGCTCAGGTGGGGGATCCCATTTGACCTCTCTCCACTGTCTCTTTGAGCTCAGATCAACAAGTGCCATGAGGACCACTGAGAAGAAATGTATGGTAGAGACTGCCTGAGTTCTTCAGTTTCCTGAGTGCCGCGTGCTTGCCATCAACTGCCCCCATTACATGTGGAACGTTCTCGTATTTTTCAATAATTGCATGATGCCATTCTTGTTCAGTGGTGGGACACTGGATCACTTCATCAACATACTCATCCACTATGACTTGACAGACTTCGGGGATAAACTTGTAAATTGTTTCTCGAGCAACCCCGAAGCTGTATGACAGTGATGGATACCGATCGCCAGCTGCAAGGTGCCTTAGGGTGCAGGCAAACTGGCTCTCCTGGCATTGGTATGACCCTTCGTGAGTCTTGGTGCGAGTCTCTGGAGTAGTTCATCAAAGGATTCTGGCGTAACTCTCAAGAAATTGAACAATACCGTTGTATCCTCCATTCTCAGTTCAGTCACGAGTCTGGTGTAGTGCCCATATAACAGCCTTCTATCAGCTTGCATCCATGGTCGAACCCAACAACGACGCGATCTTCTATCCCTCCTACTTAGCCACTTCTTCATTGCAGCACATGTTTACATGGAAGTGCACGAAACAAAAGGAAATCGGTGTGGAGACAACTACACACATACATGTTACAAGGAAGTGCATGTATATTTAGTAACACAGTGAAATCAGTATGACGATTACCACACACATATATGTTACAAGGAAGTGCATGTATATTTAGTAACACAGTGAAATCAGTATGACGATTACCACACACATATATGGTATTTGATTAATCTGGTCGTATCCTTATTTATCTTACCCATTTGGCAAAAAGGTCCGAACCATGGTGGTATGCAAAACCTGCCGGATGAAGATGCTGAACAGGGAGTGTTGGGGAAATCAGAGCAGCCATTAGAACAGTGACACGACTCTGCAACACAGAAAGAAGTCACTTTACACAACCTTGAGTATCTGAATATTTACGTCGGAACGACATACACTGATAAACATTGGTATATATATATATATCAGGTCTTGTTGAAGAAAATATATGGAAAACATTTTTCATTATAAATCGGGAACTTTGAACCACAATAACATTTTGAGGGTATGGTTATATTTGACACATAATAATATGTGTGATCTATCAATGGAATAATGTTGATAAAATATCTAGCAATGTTTCGGAACCGATAAGCCAGTTCTTATATATGCATTTTAGACGCATGTATTTAAGAACAGATGAAGATAAGGTCAGGAACGGGTTAGGTGTTGGATTGGTGAGTGTTTAAATATTGATGGATTTGGGTGGTTTGATTGGCGATGTGTTTGAGTGGTGATGTGTTTGAGTGGCGATGTGTTAGGGTCGCGAAGGTTTTGAATGGGGATGGTTTGAGTAATGATGTGTTTGAGTGGTGATGTGTTAGGGTGTTTTGAGATGGTTTGAGTAATGATGTGTTTGAGTGGTGATGTGTTAGGGTCGCGAAGGTTTTGAAGTGTTTGAGTAATGATGGTTTGAGTGATGATGGTAAGGATTTGGATGGTGAGGAGTTAGGATAGCTTTGGGTGTTGAGGAGCTACGGTGATGAGTGATTTCGTGGTGAGAGAGTATGGGTCTGAGAGGTCAAGATGGTTACAAGGTTTTGTTATGGTCTCGGGAAACACAATGCACCATGGCGTAACTTAAACCACAAAGCGCAGAACAGTTTATCAGGATTTCAGTCACGAGAACTCATTGATAACAGGGCAGACTGCTCCCCAGAATACTTTGATTCATCATACTATATGAAGAAAATTTGTTTCAGTTTAACAACTCTATTTAGGATCTCAACTCTGTATTCACGTCTGCCGACTCCCTCTATTCTATTAGTCACACACGTTCTACATATATCTACATATACATATACATATTCATGTACATATTTTCACTATCCATACATTGAAACAGACCTAGCTGGACAGTCATTGTTTGAAATTATTCACTTAATATGTCTGGTCTGTTTGTATTATTACCTTTCTTGTCACCAAAAACCTGCACCTCACAAAGTCCAAAGTAAGGCCCCGCCATTATAACTGTTACAGTGTCGCCCTCTATAGGTTGTATACAGCTGAGTGTCACAGGGTTACGTATATGATCTGGAGATGATGTCTGTCACAGGTAGAACCAATACTTCCTGCTTGATGTCTGTCAGACACAGGTAGCTTTCAATACATGTTCTGTTGTTTTGTTCAATACTTCTCATTGCTGTGATAGTTTCCAATGGCTGTCACATCCTTTCCTCCAAGTGGAGAGGACGTGTTTATCGTGCATAGTTCCTTGTGTTCTTTTAAGCTTTGTTCATTACAGTTCATCATTACAGTTCATCATTACTGTTCATCATTACAGTTACATTACAGTTCATCAATTGACATTGTTCATCATTACAGTTTTACAGTTCAGCATTAGTTAATCAAAACAGTTCATCGTTTACTTTTCATCATTGGTGTTTCATTACAAATCACTGTTCACATTACAGTTTATTGTGTTCAAAATACAGTTCATCATTACTGTCAGCTCATTGTTCATCAAAATCATTACAGTCATTACGTCATCATTACAGTTCATCTTTGTTCATCATTACAGTAGTGTTCATCAGAGTTCATCATTGTTTCATCTGTGACAATAGTTCCATGTGTTCATCATTACTGTTTTAAAGCTATTACAGTTCAACATTACTGTTCATCATTACTGTTCATCATTACAGTTCATCATTACTGTTCATCATTACAGTTCATCATTACAGTGATCATTTATTAGTAAAACCGAGAGAACACAACTTACCGTCACTAAGGAGGTAGATTGTCATCCGGCTGATTAGGAACGTTCCACCAAGAAAAACATGCCAGCTGGCATTCCCACCACCATGTTCGTCTGTATGTGAACAACTACCACTGTTCCAGTCTGTGCTGAAATCCCCGTCAACAGCTTTACCGGCATCATATGTCTGTCCACCGGTATTGTCTGTCCATGTGCTGCTCTGACTGGCAGGTTTACCATGTGCGATGTTATCTGTCAGCAAAACGATAACATGTTATAACAGTAATGGTATAAATAATAGAGTGTGTGTTTGTTGTATCTAGGCCATATCTATGAAAGTATACTTTGTGTTCATTGAAACGTAAAACATATTTCCTACCTAAGTATGAGGTTTGAGGTTTGCTTACCTTGTGATTCTGCTCACGCAATGTTACCTCATAAGACACACCTTTCTGAAGTTAATGTCAATGTCAGTTGTGAGCTAAGATTAATACTGAGCTATAACGAAGATAATGGTTTCACCAGTTTCTGTTGAGTGGATATATTAACCTCAGATTTAGTTATTACATTAGCTATTACAACTGCTATTGTACCACCGCTATGTGTACCACCGCTATGTGTACCACCGCTATGTGTACCACCGCTGTGTGTGTACCACTGCTATGTGTACCACCGCTATGTGCTATGTGTACCACTGCTATGTGTACCACGCTATGTGTACCACCGCTATGTGTACCACTGCTATGTGTACCACCGCTATGTGTACCACCGCTATGTGTACCACCGCTATGTGTACCACCGCTATGTGTACCACCGCTATGTGTACCACCGCTATGTGTACCACTGCTATGTGTACCACCGCTATGTGTACCACTGTGTACCGCTATGTACCACCGCTATGTGTACCACCGCTATGTGTACCACCGCTATGTGTACCACCGCTATGTGTACCACCGCTATGTGTACCACCGCTATGTGTACCACCGCTATGTGTACCACCGCTATGTGTACCACTGCTATGTGTACCACTGCTATGTGTACCACCGCTATGTGTACCACTGCTATGTGTACCACTGCTATTGTACCACCGCTATGTGTACCACTGCTATGTGTACCACTGCTATGTGTACCACTGCTATGTGTACCACTGCTATGTGTACCACCGCTATGTGTACCACCGCTATGTGTACCACCGCTATGTGTACCACTGCTATGTGTACCACTGCTATTGTACCACTGCTATGTGTACCACTGCTATGTGTACCACCGCTATGTGTACCATGTACCACCGCTATGTGTACCACTGCACGTGTACCACCGCTATGTGTACCACCGCTATGTGTACCACCGCTATGTGTACTATGTACACATCCATAAACGCAAAGTTAATTCTTAAAAAGAAATGTAAACAATAACCATTTCAAAAGCAGATTATTTAAACCTAAAACACAAACACCTTAAGTCAACACAAGGCCTTGCTTACCACGGACTGGACACGTGACAAACCGAGCAACTATAAAAACCTACGAAAGCTGTCCGCTAATAGGTGTTGCCTACTGTTTTAGGATCATGGAGTGAGTGAGTGAGTTTAGTTTTACTCCGCACTCAGAAATATTCCAGCTATATGGTGACGGTCTGTGAATAATCGAGTCTGGACCATGCAGTGATCAACAGCATGAGCATCGACCTGCGCAACTGGGAACCCATGACATGTGTCAACCAAGTCAGCGAGCATGACCACCCGATCAAGTTAGTCGCCTCTTACGACAAGCATGGGTTACTGAAGATCAATATTCTAACCCGGACCTTCATGGGTCTTAGGATCATGGAACCTTACTGCAAATTGTAAGCCAATCAAATGCCATTACCTGCGAGTTATGTATTTTTGCTTACATTTTGTTTGTAATTACTGACTATACTGGCTTCATCTCGACATTCGACTGAGGACGAAAGTGGAACTACTCTCATCTATGTCTCCTCTATCCATACACGAATGATCTACTCCCGATAAACATAACTATTTCCAACAAAATACCAAAGATATATTGGCACACTACCCATGCATGTCAAGCAGCGAATCATCAACATGTTTTACTAAAAAGGTTTAGTCACTGAATGGTTACGGTATTGCAGGAGACGATACATTCCGTATTGTCATTCTGGACTGTAGTTGTGTCATTATCGTGACTTTAATACGCTTCCGAGCATCACGAAACACAAAACTTGAAGCCAAAAGATGACCTTGAATTTGATGTTATAAACAATATCGTCATAAATGTCCAAATATCAAGCAGTTCCACCTCGTTGCATGAATCTCTTTTGTGTTCGACTATAAGCACAGACAAGTTAGTAAGTAAATAGGTAGGTAAGTTAGTAAATAAACAAAAAATAAATAATCATATAAACAAACAAACAGATAAACAATGCTTGGTGTTTATGTATAACATCTAAGTGTAAAGAACATAGCAGTCTAGAACTTACGCATCTGACAGTACGTTCCAGACCAGTCTGTCTGACAAGCTGGAGGAGGCACTGAACACACGTCGGGGGAGGACTGCATCCATTCTTGTAGTGACAACTTGATCCTGGTCCTCGTGTAACATATAAGTAACATACTGACAGAGCAGATTGTGAAGGGGAATACATAATTCATAGCTCTGAATTCGAATAGTTTACTCTTTCTGTCAAGGTGATCCGACAAAAGTCAATCAGTTCATCTGTTCACACAGTTTATTCGGCCACCGCTAAGAAGTACACATATAGATTGTCAGGAACCTACTCTAACCCGGAATACCAACACAGGAATCTAAATAACTCAATTGTACCTTGTGCAGCTGTAACCGACACGGCCTGGATGATCACCAACAGACAGATAACAGAACTCATCTTACACAGGTCGGGTACTGAAACAAACTTGATTTGTAGTAATGAAATGAAAATTAGAAAAGGTAATCACAGGATACAGTAGGGAATAAAGCTAATGCACCATATAGGTTGCAAAACAACTACTTGTTAGATGCCTTTTTGTACAATAAGTGCAAAAATTGCTTCGAGGAAGATTCAGTTAAATATTCAGTCATCTGTGGCTATAACGAGCGCCAAAAGCTACATTAGGATATCAAAATATAGATAGAATCACTTGTGTCAATTTTGAACAATTAACCTTCAAACTAACGCGCATACCAATCGAGAATGAGTGATGAGGAAAGCAATATCAGCTGTTTGTTCTTACACAAGCTGTATCCATTATTACGTAACAATGGTTTTCGTCGAAGCAGACATAATGAATACGTAAGGTCACTGTTTACAGTTATACCTAGTGTTCAACACTTTGGACTATTCCTTCACATAAACCTTAGCTGACGCATTGTTCAAATCATGCAAAAGCAAACAAGTGTTCCCAAAATTCGAAAAACAGATCCCGAGTATCAGCTTGCAAACCTCTGTATTGTTCTTCAGAAACTACCTCGTGCCAGTCCTTTGGAGAATTGGTGGGCGACGACAAAGTTTACATTGTAGGTATATAAATCAACATCCGTGCAGTGTAATACACTAGACATATATATTCTCTTTCAGCGTTCTCCATGTGCTTTTTGTGCATTTTATTTACTTGTGAACACACATGCCTACTCCGATGCAAATCGTTAACCTTCTGTTTTTCAAAAAAAAGCGTCGAACAATTCTTGCTTAAAGTTGTTTAATTAGATTTACAACATTGAAGGTTACAGTAAATCTTCCAATTGTAAATCTTCCAATTTACAACATTTATGGTAGACATGTGGAGGACATGTCCAAATCTGGCGCAACAGTCACACAATTCTCCATTTGGACATGTACCACATGTACCTATTGTTTCAGATGTACAATGGAATTGTCTTTGCGTGTGTTTATGACCGGTGTCATCGTTGGGGCAGGATACGTTCATCTTTCCGCCAACACCTGGTATCATCACTGTCTAAATTGTTGGATATCGTCGGAATCGTCCAATCAACCCTGCTTTTAGCAGAGATCTCTGATAAATCTTGAAAGGGTTGTGTAATATACTGAACCGAAAAGAAACGCCACCTTTCAAAACCAAATGCACAATTTTGTTCTACCAAGGTGGTGTTTTTATTATGATTGTACTGTTATATCAACATGTTTTTCAATCCATATTGACAGTTATTACCAACATCAGAGTGTTTTCTAACGAAAAAGCATATAGACCAAACGCACCTAAAAAGGCGGACATGGTAAAAGATTCCGTAAGACATTCGAGAAAATGAAAATGCGCGTGCATATCGTGACAGCCCTACCAATGATAAAGAGTCCCAAACTTGCCTGAAATCATTCTTGTTTTGACACATTCGCTGCACCACGACTTACGAGAGATCAGAGGAACCAAGCCTTGGGACGACTAAAAGTTGGCCAGACTGCACGGAGGGTAGCCAATCATGTTAATGTTCATGTTAGAACAATCTACCGATTGCAGGAGCGGTATCAGGTCACAAACAGCATTCAAGACCGTCCACGCAGTGGGCGACCTCCAGTAACATCACAGCGTCAAGACCGAGGGCAATGGGCAACTCAGAATCGAAATTGGCGTCATCGACAATGGAGAACAGTGTTTTTTCTGATGAAAGCCGATATTGTGTTTCGACAGCCGATGGCAGAGTGAGAGTATGGTGAAGGCGTGGAGAATGGTTTTCCAATGAGTGTTTTGTTGAAAAGAGACTCGTGGGTGGTCCAAGCATCATGGTGTGGGGTGCAATCGGTCTGAACCAGAGAGTTGCCCACACTTCCAGAGCAACATTGGACTTCTTAGGACAACATGGCATCCAAACCCTACAATGGCCGGCACTCAGTCCGGATTCAGGTCCAATAGAACACCTTTGGGACGAGATTCAAAGACTGAATGACCTTCAACCGAGGCCGACAACTGTGGTTGGGCTCGATCAGGCATTTCGAAGAGTCTGGACCCAAGTGCCTATGGCCTTCATCAACTGGCTAATTCATTCCATGTACAGACAATGCAACGCCGTCATCAATGCTCAGGGAGGCTACACACGATACTGACTTTGAGGCATCCTAATGGTACCATTTTTGGTGATTGTGTTTGTGTGAACTAAATGTGATTCGCGAAAATGTTGTAACCATAATTATCAAGTTTGAACTCAATCATACGTTTTGATTGTTAATTACAGCGAATTAAAGTGTGTGCTTTAAGAAACCTGTATCGGTTTTGCGGTTCAGTATATATGGGTTATTTGCATCCATCTATTATATTGACTTGTATCATCGCATCAATTCGACTCACAAGTTTTCAGCGACACGGTAACGTTCGCAATGTTTACATTCCCACAATGCAATCGTGGAATGTCGCTTGACTACTCAGCTTCATCTGGATGTACTGATCTAAACTTACGTTGGTAGTAGAAATGCGACGTTCATATTGCCCCATATGGTTTACGTTAATGACAGATGTAATTAAAATAATTCAGAGAAGATATTTAATCCGAACGTAAACCGTCATCAAACTGTTATCATTTGTTTTTTTCTGGTAACGTTCGTCTTAACGTAGGGGGGCAGACACATCAATAGAACAGCGCGCCAGTTAGCCCTGTGCGAGGATTCTTCATTTAGGTCACCGACACCGTCGTTTGTTTTCTGCCTTAAATTGATCGTAATTATCCTTAGAAAGTATTAAATTTGGCATCTTAGAAAAGAAATACAGTTCGCTCTACCACCATGTTTAGTGTAATAAAGCACACTTTTGCCCTGAACTATTATAACGTTATGGCACTCGGACGCAAGCGTCCTAGTACTTTAACTATAATAGTTCAGGGCGAAAGTGTGTTTTATTACACTATACATGGTGGTAGAGCGAACTGTATTTCTTAAATAGATAATCCAATCCGATGAACTTGGTATCACGATTTTAAAATAATGCAGGTGAGGTTCCCCACCAGAAACTACTTTAAAGCTGAAGATTCAACGTAGGTTTATAACATTGTGTTTTGACAATCTTTAGTAGCACGGTGTGTATTACAGTGGTGTTGAAGTACTATGTTTTGATGCTTTTGCTGTCAAATGAAATCTGGAACATTCTACTATAGCATAGACTAATCCAGCATACTGTGGGACACTCTGGAACGTCCGTAGACTACATAGGAGGGCAGGTGCATGGCTCTATGATATCACATTACACCCAGTGCAGCGGTTGTGTGAAGATCATAGATTCACCTGTTACTGCTGAGAGAAGATATTAGCCAAGGCTTAAATTGCTAGTTGTATTGCTGTTATATGTTATACAATTGAAATGTCTCCTTGCTAATAAACGTGATGAAAATGATATAACACCAAGTGAATGGTTTGTATACTTTAAAGATCTTTAAATCCTTCTGATAGTCAAACTGAACTTGATCACGATGTTGCACATTTTCTTGAAAATCATGATAGTTTTCCATGTGAAAAATGTTTGAACATTGATATGTTATCAGATACCATCAGCCATGAGGAAAATATTAAAGCGATCTCTGATATTAAATCGGGCAAGTCACCAGGAATAGATGGCCTTCCACCAGAATTCATGAAGAATGCACCTTCCCTTGCTGATCATTTCTATGCATTGTTTAATGTTACTTTAGATTCAGGAGTATTTCCCTCTGCTTGAAATGTTGGTTTACTGGTACCTATCTATAAACAAGGAAATATATCTGATCCTAACAACTATCGGGGAATATCCATGTTAAGTGTCATTGGAACAATTTTCACTTATGTTCTTGAAAAAAGACTGCGTAGCTGGGCCGAGTTTAATGCTTTACTTAATGAAGGGCAAGGAGGCTTTAGAAATGATTATTCTACCATAATATGTTCTCACTCCATTCTTTAGTTCATAAGTACCTGCGTAAAGCAAAGCATCGTTTTTATGTAGCTTTCATCGATTTCTGCAAGGCCTTCGATCTTATTGATAGAAAAAAAAGTATATAATCTACTTGAAAAGGGTGTACACGGCAAGATGTATAAAATCAGTGAGAACATGTACTCAGATGTATGTGCCTCCGTTCGTTCTGGTAAATCTAGAATAGACTTCTTTACAACCAATAATGGTGTTCGCCAGGGCTGCATGCTCAGTCAGTTACTTTTCATCCTATTCATCAATAAACTTGCAGACGATCTCCATCATGGCAATACTCGTGGAATTTATGTAAATGAATACATAGAAGCTATTAAGATATTACTGTTCGAGGATGACGTTGCACTACTAGGAGATAGCATTGTTGATTTACAAAGAAAATTAGACATTCTTGAAGATTTTTGTAACACGTGGGGCTTTGAAGTAAATCTGGATAAATCTCAGGTGGTTGTTTTTCGAAACGGAGGACGCGTTAAGAGAAATGAAAAAGGGTTTTTTAAAGGTCTACCTGGAGAGGCCACCCCTTATTATAAATATTTAAGAATTGTATTTTCATCTCGTTTAGTTTGGTCCAAAGCATGTGAAACGCTATCTTTACAAGCCAAACGTGCATGTTTCCCTCTGTTTCAACTGTTCACCAAGTATCAAAGTATGTCTTTAACTATTGCTCATAATATATTTGTCAGTACTACTAAGATACTACCAATTCTAACCTATGGAAGTGAAATTGGGGCTATACTTATAGAACGTGTATTGAAAAGGTTCATAGTGAGTACTATAAAAGATTTCTGTCACTCAGTAAAAAAACTGCACCATATGCTGTACTTGGAGAAATTGACAGATTTAACTTTTGGGTACATTACCATTCAAGGTGTATTTAATATTGGTGCCGAATTATAAGTATGGACCAAAATAAATACCCGAATGCCTGTTATAAGATGATGAAAGCCTATGATGATAACGGAGGCACAAACTGGGTTTCACATGTTCGAATGCTTCTATTTACTACAGGTTTCTCCTATGTCTGGTTAGCCCAAGATTGTGGCGATGTAAATCACTTCATGTTTGAGTTCAAACAACGCTGTATAGATATTAATATACAACACTGGAATAGTAAAATAAGAAACTCATCATTTCTTGTAAATTATGGTACATTTAAGTCACTTCTTGAACCTGACCTGTATATTTCCTGTGGCGCATTAAACAAAGATCTTATGCGAATGTTGATCAAATTCCGATGCCAATCACATAACTTGAATATACAAAAACAACGTTTTTCAAAGATAATTGCCCCATATAAAGAATTAGTTTGTAACAAATGTACTTTAAACGTGCTTGAAGACGAATATCACTTGTTGCTAATATGTCCATTTTATAACCGATGCAGATCCCAGATACACAGTGTCACTGTTCTTAAAGGAATATGTATATACCTGAAGCAAAACCTACGTTAAAATAATTGTATTATGAATTATATTTCAACTCTACACACCATGACATTGTTGTATTACCTGTTGTACTCTTGGCCACATGGCCTTCCATTCTGACTACAGTGATCATGAACCTGAACATATGTTATACCACCAATGTAATTGAGCTACAACCGAACTGTGTACTGTCGCTCATCAATAACAATACAAAACTTTCAGTAATTTACATTGTTTTGTAAACGTATTTTGTTTAATAATTTTGGTTTCACCCCGAATTCTTTTGATGACAGATTTCTGAATAAACTTAATGTTTCACTTAGGAAATCGATACATGCAGTTCAGTGCTTTCTTGCTTAATAATCGTACCCAACATGCTTGGGTCGTGATTCACATAGTCTATTTGCAGATGTCTATAAGTGCGGAATAACTACGTTGATGCCCAGGCATGTGCTACCTGACAGGACCAGATCGCTGGGTATTTCTCGGTCGTGACAAAGCGAAAGACCCTAATGAGGGTCATACTGTGCTGCACGGAGGCGACTCTCTATGTAAAGGTATGCTATGAAACCCGTAAAACATGTGCGTTTGCGCGCGTGCGTGCGTGCGTGCGTGCGTGCGTGTGTGTGTGTGTGTGTGTAATCCATTTTGCAAACAGAACAACATGATGGCTGGCACGGGACTGTACATTGACCCTCCTGAGAGATGTCACATTTAACTTAACACGACCTCCTCTGTTATAGCATTGTGTTTCTTATTCTGAATGAGTGAGTTAAGATTTTAAGTCACATCGGCAATATTTCAGCCATATCGTGACTACAAACGAGTTATAATTTTACAATAAGATAAAGGTAAATTATAATAACCTGTCAGCAAAGGACAGTAAAACAACTAGTATATCACAGATTTCAATTTAAAACTAGTAATTAACACTAAAATACTTTAACTATAGAGGACGATACAATATAAAAACAGGCTATACATTGCCAACAACTGAAGTTAGATCACCATACTAGGGACCATGGGGACTTACAGTACTCTTGCTACCTGCACGGACCCTAGCTGGATTTACACCATCCATTCAGCCGTTAGCAATTTAGATAAATCTAGCCATAGATTAAAATAACATATATACTACGATTTAAAATAGTAGTAGGTTTAAATTTACTGTGAATGCATTGGGACTTATGTACCCTCTCAGGAGGACAATAATTTTACAATACTTCAACCCCTTTGAGGGTACAGCCACTAACAATCTAAGTTACTAATCTGAACTACCAATCATTAAAATACATCTATCTACAGAACATATTAATGAGAATTCATCAATCAAATCAATTTCTTGTAAAGACCAATAATTAAATGAGAATTAACAGAAGTAAAAAGATCCTTAACTGTTTTCACACTGAAATATTTATCCCTTATGATGGAGAATTCAACACAGTCAAGCAGGATATGCTTGACCGTGACTCTCTCATCACAAGGGGTACAAAAAGGAGGATCTTCACCTTTTAACAAGTATTTGTCAGTATAACGCGTATGGCCAATGCGACATTGTCGCATAATGACTTCTTCAAATCTGGATTGACAACCCAAGTAGGTGTAACCGATAGTTGGTTTAATTGCATGTAACTTATTTGTTTCTTATTCTGTCATTTACACAGTGTAATTTCAATAACATGCAGACTCTTCCGTCAGACACCGAGTTATGCATAATACTGTGAAGAAAATGAAATATGTTTATCGCTATGCCAGATGTTGTATTGTCAGGCTAAGTGAATAAGAATGACGGTAATGTTGAATTTTACACATTGGACTATACTTCAGGTATATCACGGCGTGATACCTCCATGTCAGCGTGACCTGAACCAGGTCTGAGACCACCTTTGGTACACCTGAGATTGGTGCTGAGAAATAATTACAAGGAAGAGACTTACCTTTTGTGCAGCCTTCGTCTGAATCACACCAGGTCAGTGTGTTTTAAACAAGGAAGCAAATCACAACACGAGGTCAATGTGGACGGCACACATCAACGATAAAATGTGTTGTCACTCTTCCACACACACATGACACTTGTAAAATGATATCATTTGTAATTTAAGGATATGAACGGGTACAATAATATTTGTGAAGCCCATTTCTGGTGTCCCCGCCGTGATATTGTTGGAATATTGCTAAAAGCGGCGAAAAACTAAAACGCACGAACTATTGATGAATATTCGACATGTCCTTTTACTTCAGAGATAATCACAGAATATGTTATCTTGACCGTCACGGAGAAGTGGAATACTAAAGAAAGGGAATATTTTCAAAATATTCGCTGGAAAATCATCTACCATTTTCATGCCGTTTGGTTTAAACATATTTTATTGTCCAAAAGACAAGCGGGATTAGGCACAAGTGCACCACTTATGGTCGCCTTCTCCCTAAATACAGTTGAACATGATATTACATAATGGGGCAGTACAAGTTACAGTGGAAGCTTGACATGGAGGAAACATATGCAGTGTTGGTATACATATATACAGTGTTTTACAGGATATATACAGTGTTTTACAGGATATATACAGTGTTTTACAGGATATATACAGTGTTTTACAGGATATATACAGTGTTGATATACATATATACAGTGTTTTACAGGATATATATACAGTGTTTTACAGGATATATACAGTGTGCTGGAAAGTGGAAAATGTGCATCTCATACATTTGCAAGTTCTATACAGTACATCATGTATATATAGACAGAACTATAACAACAGTTTGGAAACAATTAGCTGGCGAATCTGTTTGTAGATTCAATATACTTGTGTACAGACAGGAATATATTTTTATTCATCAAATAGTTTAGGTTAGGGTCACCGAATATGATTGTGCAGTGTCCTCCAAATTTATCATTATCTGAGAATAGCAATTTTCTGAAGTCATCATATAAAGTACATTCGAAAAAAGAAATGAAATGAATTTTCGCATGGCGCGCCACATTGACAGGCAATAATATCAGATAAGTTAACCCGAAACAGGTCGGAATTTAATGTGCTGCAACTATGCCTCAATCTAGTGTGCAATACATTTGTGTATCTCTTATCGCAATTGTAATACTAGTATGTCGGTGGCAACGCGGATTGCTCCGATGCGACAGTTTTAAAAGAAGATACCGACGGACTGTTACTTACTTTGCCGGTCGACTAGATTATTCCATTGACATAATGTATCTATAATATAGGATCTTTTAAACGCGGATGTCCGTGCAAAAGGTATTGGCGTAACTGGTGATTGGGCTTCAGTAAACCCCACCACAGTTACCTATTAATTATGGTCGTTCCACATTGTTCGGGGAGATAGTAGCTCTAGCGCTCCACTCGCTTGGTCCGTTGCAGGATGCTAAGTCAAGGAGTGAGGGGTCGGACTTCGTGACTCCTAATTAACCACATAACATTCATGTACTGGCACACATACATTCAAAGATAAACGCAACACAAAGTTTATACTCACATAGTTTTACTCTGTCTCAGTCCATCTCTCTAACTACAACTTCAACAACAGACAGGGCAGGTTCGTACCACACGGGGCAACTGAGTGGCGTGGACTGGCTTCCGTCACTAAAAAGCGCGCACCACTCGCTCAGTGCCCAACCAGCTGTCTTTTTATATGGTTCGAGCCTGGCCTGATCTTGATCACATGTTTGATTCGTTTAGCCTGTATCCGACCTTGTACTCATGAATATTACGATTGGAAAAGTACCGGTAAGAATCGTTCGGTCACTCTCCCCTTTGTTGTTTGTTTAAATATAATTAATCTGTTATGTCTTTCAGAACAAATGTGTTCTGTCTCTCTTTCCATAGCCTACGGCTAAACGCCATTCTAAGGAGACTTTCCGTCTCCATACCGTGCCTAACCGTTATGACTCATGAGCAAAAGTTCAAATCTAAATACGGAATCTGATGTAATTCCCTCGTGGTTTTAGGGATGCATTTTACATCCTCCGCCTGTGGACAAGAGCTGCCCACAGCTCGGATATATTAAACATGAGCACAGGTCAGATATATGAAAAGTTAAACACAATGAACACCATCGAAGCAAAAGAGGATCGGTAATTTCTGAGAGGAAATGATATCCCATTTCAAACTTTCGAAATATTCGGAAAAAAGTCGAGGATACTGTACCTTAAAAACGAGCATGCCAAGGAATAAGAGAATGATCCTATGTTACTTCGGGGAACCACAAAGCATATACATCATACATATATTATGAGATGATAACACAACAATAAATTAAAGTCAATAGTAAATGTTAAAATGTCTTCAATATGGCCAAATATGGCACCACCATTCACAAAAAGTTCTGATGTCTCTGGTCCCATCGAATAAACTGGCACACGTCTACTGGAAATGTTCTGATTGTCACTGGATATACACTGAACGCTGTTCACTCTGTGCGAGGCCACAACAAAAATGAATGTCTGAACACAGGGCCGTGTATCACACAACATAGTTCTTGGCTTGGTCATCAAAGTGAAGAGACGAAATCTTCTGCACACTGCGAGAGTGAGCTCTGTATTTTCACTGAAGATGTACCCTGTTGCTTTCGCAACTTGTAGTTGGGGAACATCGTAGAGGTCTTGCAGTGTCGATCGTCACTGATGCGCCTTCGTGGGCGGTGTTCAGCGTCCCAACCCTTGCGATAGCGTTCGCGGGTAACAGCAAGCGTGGAGCCAGATAATCGATGTGGCGTGGACCAGACGACATTTGGGGAGGAGCGTTTCTGTTCTCCCGTCCGAATGGGGTCCGGCCATTAATCTACAACACTTGAAACGTGTGTTAAACCACGACGAATATAATTAGTATTATGATATACATTGGATACGACAGCAATACATGTTAAAACATGACACGCTCTAATAAATGGCAACCTGTGTACAGATCACAGTAGACAATAACAGCATTCTTGACTGCTGACTGCGTGCCCAATAACAATTTGAGTCCATTATGTTGCATGAATATTCTCTGACACCTATGTAACATGGCATCAATAAATAGGAATCAAATGTTATTTGAACCATGGACGACATCTGTAATACCTGTGATAGGTTAAATAGGAGCAAGTTACTCACAACATTCAGTAAATGCTTTGCAGTTTAAAACAACAAGAACGGTGGGGTAGCCTAACAAGCGTTGGCTCGTCATAGATGACATGGGTACAATGTGAAGATGGACTCAGAGAACATACATTGAAAATATGTGATGGACTGAGATACATTGAAACAAGGATACATATCGACTATAGAACAAGAATTTTGTTTGTTCTCTTCGTGTATACATGGGCACATGAACAAGCATAGATATAGGTACAGGTTAATACACTGACTAAACCTTATTTCAAGTTACTCAATAATCAAAGAGTACAAAATTTGAATTAAAACAAAAACGTGGAACCGTGAGTGTCCGCCAGCCGAGAAGAATATTCGGGTAATACATCCGATTGGTAAGAAGTATGAACAAAGAGAGACCGATAGACAATAGACTAGAAGGACGGTATTCAATTCAGCGGAAACGAGTCAATAATGTCCGGTTCAGGCTTTTCAGAATCTGATGACCAAGAGGAATCATCAGGACAATATGGGTGCGACGTAGAGATGTGTGGCTGGGCTTGAGGGGACAGCGGTTGTGAGGGAGAGAGTTGTTGCACAGACGCGTGTGAAGAGGATGGTGTTGGCGGAGGTGGTGGGGGTTGTGCGTCTCGTGTTGCAAGGGGTTGCGGACTGGTCCCCAAACATCGAGAAAGAGTAACGGGGCGGCGCAGCATTAAATGCCGTTGAAGGCATGCTGTTACTTGCGGCGAATCAGCCGTCGGATGTGCCGGTAACGAGACTCGGCCTCCAATATAGGGATACCACAAGCAACACAAAATACGTCAGGTGCGGCTAACGACCATAACGGCATAGCCCGAAATCGGAGCGCGCAGTCAGCATGGATTGTTGCAAAGCAACAAGGAAGGGGCCATACCATTGCCGTCGCTGCTTCGGTAATTTGAACTTTACAGAGAACCAAATGGGACTGTTTAAGCCACCTCTCGTATCGGTCCCTTGTTCTCTCGACCACACTGACCACTTGGGGGGCATGAAACGCCAACGCACCCGATACGTGTTGTAATATGTGACACCCTGGCAGACCATATTCCATTTCTAAAAATAAATGAAATTAGCAAATGATGTCTGGTATAACGGCATAGCTTCATGTGCCAGCATGATCCATGTGGCCATTTTACAGAATGGATTTGGGCGTGATAAGGCCGTCTGGGCGCATACCATAAACAGATTAGGCGCCTGGAAACATTCAGCAAGGATTGTTACCTGCTCCAAAAGGGTGTCATCCATGAGTGGTAACTCTACACTATAAGACAGTAACCCTGCCAAGTACAGGACTACCCGCCAAAAAGGAAGGAATTGAAAATAACGCGGACAGGCAATAGTGGTCCGCGTCTGGGGTAATGCTATTTCTGCATTATCATTTGCAGAAGGAGGGCAGTTGAAGGAAAGTTGAAAAAGGGGGCAAATTTCTGATAATGGGAGGGCCGTTTCATGATAATTCCATGTATTTTAGATAAGCCTGCATTATTTCAGATTGAGATGAAAGTAAAAGTTAACAGGAAACTTGACCAAGAAGAACTTGGGAATAAGCCAAGTAGTTGATGAAAACTGACACAAGAGAAATTGAAATACAAGAGAGAAAAAGGGTCTTACCAAAATGAACGAAGTCAGATGTTTGAAGAGCGGGGTCGAATGAATTGTAATCATGGTCTTATATACCGACGACAGTGTACCTCGTGATGATGAAACTCATGTCAAATGTTTTCAACGGACACAAATCATCATCATGACTACGTGACTGAGTCGACATGTGCCCAAGTCAAATGAATTGTTTCTGGGCGCTCCGGCAGATGGAGGGAAACAAAAGGCATAAATTGGTTAACTGGATAACACATATGTCTGGGGAA